GCCTCCTGAGGGCCGAGGTAGTCCGGGTGAATCCGGAATGAGTCGAGCCATTTCATTGTGTTCAGCCGAGAGGAGCTGGAGGGATTTAGTGCTCCTTGAGAAAAATAGCCGACTCTCTGGAGAGCGGGACCTGGACGCTGCAAACTTCTGGCTGTGAGCAGCATTTTGATTTGTTGTGCTGTTGGGAGAAGAATCAGCCTCGGGTTGTGTTTTGTTATCTTGTGCCGTGTTGTGTTGTGCGTCTGTTTACTATGCAGCGTGTGCTCTGCACTGACATCACCATCAAGGTGGTCTGTTGGAAAAAGGCCGAACCCCATCTGTCTGAAGGATTTTATCAGAGAGAACAACACGTTCTTAGAGTCAGAACTATTTTTTTGTTGGACACGTTGAAATATTAACCAATAAAAGTCAGAATCCTTATTTTTGATAAGATAAAAACACAACATGTTCCCAGATTTAATCAGATTTAATCAGATCTATCAGATGATCCAGATTTATGTTCAAGTTTATTGTTTTTCTTTAAACTGCTGCCACACATTACGGATCTGCACCTGGAAACACTCTCGATATAACACCAACACATGATATAATTATTATTTGGCGTTATTTCAGACTCTTACAACATCAGTACACAAATTAAATGTCACTGACTCAGTATTTATACTTGCAGACGTATTTCCAGAGATTAGAGCTCTAAAATAAAGCAGAGGAATTCTAGGAAACATTTTCTTTCTGAAGAAATTACCTTGAATATATCACACAAGCACCTTCCTTATATCTTGTATAGTTCCGGCTAATTTACAGATAATTACCAGCTTTTATTTTAGGTCTAATCTTATATCTACCTGTCAGATATACTATATTTGGTGGCGATAAAGATCCACATATTATATACCAGTTATATACTGTGGAAATAATACACGATTACAAGAAACGGCAATAAGTACTTCAGTACAGAGTGTGAGTGGATTTATCAGGATCCTGTTTTAAGGCTTCATGTTGATTTTCTTAGTCGCTGAATGGAGCCGATGACCTTGAAGCCAAAAGATGTGAGCGCTAGTGTGTGTGTGTGTGTGTGTGTGTGTGTGTGTGTGTGTGTGTGTGTGTGAGAGAGAGTGTGATACGGATCTCCTCTCCGTTGTGACAAATGAAAGCTCGGCCACATCTCAGGCTCCTGTTAGACTGATGACTCCACTTTGCTCCGCCGCTTCATTCAGCTTCTCCACTCTTACGTTTGATCCATCCATCCCCGCCGTCGCTGCAATGCTTGCTGCCATAGCAACCCTTACCCTACCCCCCCCCTTCTCAGTCAGTGGAAGAGAGAGGAGCATGCTGGGTAATCTGACTTCACCTGGAACAATTCTCCTGGGGGATTTATTTCTGTCGTTGAACCATTTATTTCCCTCATCAGTCACCGATTCCCCTGGACTGGATTAACTTCATTCATTTATTATTATTTCAGTCACGTCACTGATCCAACTCTTCATTTACACAAGTTATAAAATAAAACCACGGTTTGACCAAACACGACGGAACAGGAGGAGGGAGAACGAGCTTTAAATTGTTCCGTGATCAGTAACACCTCGAGGGAACAGAATCTAATAGGACGTAGATTTGCTTTAATTAAATTTGTGAAATGGTTCAACAATGATATTCACAATATAAAGGTTTTTACAACATGCAGCAGGGGGACGGGGGTGGAGACAGATCCAGAAACAGGAAATTATGACAATAACAGAAATTATTATTATTATTATCACCAAAAGCTGTTGAATCTCTTCGTCTTTCCAAGTTGACGTCTTCGTCTGCGTCCTCTACGTCTATGACTCCTCTTTTTCATCCTGACATATTTGCATTCTTTTTATTTATCTCAGTTTTTGCATCTGTTGACTCGCTCGCTGTGAATTCTGTGCAGAACATCCTGATGGAGCTGGCAGGAAAAACTGCGGAGAAAGTTCGGAGCAGCTCAGATGTTTTGCGTCTTCAAAGCCCCTCCTCATCATTTCAGGAAATATCAGTGGATGTCTTAAAACATCTTTAGTATTGTAGTGAATGAGTTGTGACGTTAAGGCTGGGATTCAGTATGTGTAGATGTTTTTGCATTAATTTATGCAACTCATCTTTATAAGCGAGAATTAACCTTCGTCTTTTAAACTGAAACTTTTCAAATATTGTATGTGCAGCAGCGTTCCGGTCACATGAGTGAAAACACGTGTGTTAAGCTTCTGTGTATTTTAGCGCTTCCTCCATAAAAAGTCGACCACACGTTAAATACCCTCACAACTTTTCATCCTTTTTGCAGCCTCAGCTAAAAAAGTACTCAGTAACTTCCGTGTGCACCCTGTGTGATGGCAGAGAACATAAGGTTTGTTAAGGTGCAGCCGGACCTGCTGCCGCTTACAGCTCAGATTTCCTCACATTGGGGGGTTTGATGCTGCAGCTCAGGCCAGTGAACGTCCCACTGTCTCAGGGATCACTCCCAGTCCTGCAGTGTTGAATCTTTTCTGCCTTTTCAGTGTTGGTGCAGGAAAAGATTTACAAGTGTGTGATCTTCTGCCAAAAGTCCCGGAGCGTAGAAAAGAGGCAGAACAAAGTGCGTTGAGTCATTTTAACGAGAGAACAATCTGCTCTCGCTTCAGCTCCTTTTGGAAAATCTCTCAAAAGGTTTATCAGTGTTTTTTTTTTACACGTTTGTCCCCTGCTGCTGCTGCTGCTGTTTTCTTCACCGCCACCTCCCCACGCCTCTCTCTCTCTCTCTCTCTCTCTTTCTCTTTCCTCCGTGCCAGTGGGAATCCCGCGAGTGACGACAGAAGCTGATGCTGCAGTAAAGTCCTGACTGCCGAGCTGCTGAGGCTTTGATTCAGGATGCCGTAACGCCCTTGATGTGTCGCACAATTAACAAAAAAAGCTGCAGAGAGAGGAAGAGGAGTGCACGTGAGAGAAAGATGGAAGCTGTAGAGTTGCCTGTTATTCCCTCTTTTCTAAGGCAAAGGTGACCACAGTCGTCATCTTCTCTCTCTCCTCCTCCTCCCCCCTCCCTCCCCCGTTTATAGATATTCAAAATATGAACCATGTGTTTTTCGGCCTCTCCCTTCCTCAGCTGCAACCTCCACGTCACGCTGCGTTATGAGAACCAAATCCCCCGAGTGGAAACGTCAGCACAACATTAACAGCTGACCTTCTCCTCTCCTGACACGTTCACCTCGAGGAGGCAGCAGCAGCAGCAGCGGAGAAAAGGCCGTTAGATGTAGATAGTTATGGTTTAAAACACGTAAACCTTCATCAGAGAGCAAAGAACTGAGCTGCTTTCAGGATCCACACTTTTCAGTGTCGGAGCAGCACGTACGTGCAGCAGTTTCCAGATCCACTTTACAAAGATTCCAACCCGGAGAACAAACTGCATCTTGTGACACAACGTAGAAATCTGGCTCGACAGTTTCATAACATAATGAGATTTAGTTGAGATATCATCAGGAGTGACCTCATGCTTCTGGCGAATTATTAAAGAAGATCCCTTGACTTAGAACCAGGGACCAGTTTCACAATGTTTGTGTTTGTAATAAGTTGCAGAGAGTGAGTTGCATGTTGTTTATCTGTGATCCAGTTTTATCCAGTGTTCAGCTGCTGTAACAGACCGTCCCAGCACCGCAGCTTCATTCTGCTGCCGCTTTACTACGGTTAATAATACATGGATGCATCTGTGCATCTGTGTTATGGAGTCTTGCCTCCTGCTGGTATTAGAGGACATGACAGTTCACGCTCGAGCCGTGTGACTAACGTGTCGGGGCGTGTGCAAGTTGTTATTTTACCCTGATACTGTGAGGAAGGGTCGTCCGGGTGGAAACACTCGGCTGACAGCTGTTTGTTCTGCTTGTGCTCAGCTTTGTGTTCATCATAACACGTGTGTGTGTGTGTGTGTGTGTGTGTGTGTGTGTGTGTGTGTGTGTGTCTGTGTGTGTGTGTGTGTGTGTGCGTGTGCGCAGAGAAAGGGAACAAGAAATACTCGAAGTGTCGTGAGCGTGTTTGGATTCCTCAGTGTCCAGGTTGACTAATTGCTCATCTCCTCATTAGTGTGTGTGTGTGTGTGTGTGTGTGTGTGTGTGTGTGCTCCTCGTTGTCAGAGAGGAAATGAATCTGCACAAAGATGATTAACGTGTGTCGAGAGTTCGTCCTCCTGGGTCATAACGTGTCCCCGTGCACATATCTGAAGTCCGGCCTGCTCGGGATTTCTTCTTCTGTCACTTTGGACTCAAAGTGAACCGATTAGATTTCAGTGGTCAAAGGTCAAAGGTCACAGTTATATGAGTCTGAGACTGAAGCTGTTATTCTAGTCCATGATGTTTTGTGTCATCGTCTTAAAAGTTGAACTAACTTACAGAATTTACTTTTTGCATCAGCTGAGTTTTTTTTGAACAGTTTGACTTGAGTTACTTGTTGATAGTTTTCAGCCGCTTTCCCAAAAGTCAGCTTGTTGAATCTTTGTCGTAGTGTTGTTTTTAATGAGCACACAAACGTGCACGTGCTTATTCAACCAGCGGCTCTGACAGTCTGGACTGTGCTGAAAAGAACAAGAGAGCCAGAGGTTCACAGCAGCTTGGAAGGATGAAAGATAAGAGGTTTCACTTTCTTTTCTCCTCCTGCGTCCAGCTGTTCAGCTTCAGTCAGATCGATAATCATCCAGCCGAGCCAGAGGTGTGAGTCAGTGTGAGTCAGTGTGAGTCAGTGTGAGTCAGTGTGAGTCAGTGTGTGTTTTCTGCAGTGCGACCTGTAGAGAAGGAGTCAGAGATCACTGGGTGATGAGAGAAAAGTGTGAAAGAACCAGATCGTCAGGTCTCATTCTTCAGGCTGTCCTCCCTCCCTCCCCTCTCTCCCTCCCTCCCTCTCTCTCTCACCCACTTTCTCCTCCTCCTCTCACTCCACCTTCCCCCCTTTTTCTGCCTCATTATTGTGGCTCTGCTGTGGCCTGAGAACAGGTGGCTCCCCTCCTGTTAGCAGGGGGGATGTGGAAGAGAAAGCTGCAGATCAGCAGGACGAAGGCCTCACGCAGGAACAGCAGGGCTCCGTAAGTGCAGGACGTCGTCGTCCACGCTGTTTTATTTTGGATTCAATCGTAGTAAAGTGTGAGGACGATGCGGGGGGGCCGTGTTGTCTGAGGAGGGAGGGGACGCTCGGTGTTCGTTAGAAAGGACAGAGATGAGGTTTCTTGATTCTTAAAAACCTGCTTGTGTCTCTCGATCATAGTGATGATAATTCATTTAATTTATATATTTGTGTTTTTACAAGTGGGTGCTGTAGCTGTCATGTCCGCCCCCCCCCCACCCCCTTCGATTTACATACTTGTTTTTAAAGCCTCATCCCTCATCACACCACAGAGCCAAAGAGCTTAGATTAATGAAGACACCATTAAATTGCAGCATTAAATATATACAAACACACTTTACTTCATTTATCGCTCGCTGTAAAATTACTCATCACATTAATCGATAGCGAACGTTTTCAGGCGTAGTCTCTCAATTACTCTAGAAATTAAATAATTGGAATAAATGACAGTAATTTTGCGAGGGAATCATTCGGGGCTGAGAAAACACAGCGTTCCATTTTTTAATAAATGTATTTTGGCCCCGATGCTCTGCAGCATATTTTAGATAAAGTGTTCCTCAAGTGGTTTGTTTTTATTTTATTTATCGGAACGCTGAGCTGACACTTTAAATATTTCACAGGAAACTATTTTACCCGTCAAACCAGAGGTTCTCCACCTGCAGGGTGGAAGGATTTTTTCAATTCTTCTCTTTTTATGGCTGTTGACAGGCGAGAGTTTCACGAGTCTGAATCACGGAACGTGGAGCTCGTGTTGTTTCCATGATGTTTATCTCTGAAATCAATGGTTGAAAGGGAAAATGAATCCTTTCGCTCACGTGCACTTGTGATATATGTACTTCTTGCTTTTTTGCTTTAGTTTTCTCCTCCTTATTTTTGCATCACTGCATTAGAAACACATCAGATTTCCTTTCTCCACACAGGTGACAAATAAACCATCAACTCATTTGACACATCACAGGTTTTTTTTTATCACCACTGATTTCCCCCCCCCCCTTCGCCTCAGGTTGATTTATGCGTCTTCGGCTGCTCAGGCTCGTCGTGAACGCAGAGCTCGCTTCCATATTTCAGCCGCCAAGATAACGTTGCAATAAAAGAGGATCTTACTGTGAAGATGCTCTCGGGGTAAAGTGGAGCCTGATGTTTAATCAATGTGAGCGGAGCTGAAGGAGCGAATCATCCAGCGACAAACCTCAGGCTTCACGTTTCTGCCGCCTGAATTTATGACGTTTACAGATGCTGCTCTGAACAGATGATTCCTCAGATGAGCTGGTTTTGAGGAAACGTGAGACGGTGTGTCTGTGTGTCTCTGACTGGGGGATTATAAATCATCGGATTCTTCGATAACTAAATGAATTGTTACCTGTAGCAGTGATAAATATAAGGATCGTTTTCGACAACTGGATGGATTTTTGTGATATTTTCTATTTGTCATTAAGATTCTGTTAAGTTCGCTGATGTCGAGTATCAACTTCTCTTAAGATGCTGAAAGACAAACATCTGTTATAATCTGGAAAGTAAAACATACTACCCTCCCATGTTCATATACATGTACACCATACTACATGTATATGAATGAATACACTCAAACTCTTTTATGTCATTTCCTTCTTGACAATTTGTATTTGTGCTTTTCTCCTTTTCCAGAGAAAAGATAAACATTCTTGTTACATGATGGGCTCCAGGCAGCTGTGTGTCATTTATTCTGTGTACAGAAATCCAGAAAATGAAGTAATCACACCGACTCTGTGAACTGTGCCGAGTTCCCACAGTAATAAGTTATGTAATTTAACAGTCGTGTCTTTCTCTTCTCTTCTCTTCCAGGGCTGAGAAGACAGAAGTGTTAAGTGACGACCTGCTGCAGGTACGAATGAATCCTCCTCCAACGTGTGGGTTTCCTGCTCATTATGTTTTCTGCCTCTCACAGGAAAGAAAGTCATTATTGGCGGAAAGTATTCCGTGTGAATCAAACGACTTTTTCAAATGGCCTTCAAGCAACATTAATGAGCGCTGGAATTGAATCTCTTTGTGAGACCAAAGATTGAGCGTCCCCATTGACTGACTCGGCCGCAGCGCTGTAATTGTTCTGATTAATGACGCCTCGGTGGCAGCGGCATCGGTTCAACCGAGTTGGTTTCATAATGAAATGAGAGACATTTAGCTAAGAGGTGACGGGCTCGTATAAACTTCACCAGCTCTTTCAGAGACAAACAGCTCGGACAAGGCTGTAACTTCAAAACCAAACTCTGTTCTGGACGAGGTCGAAAGTGTCAACACGGACGTTTCCTCAAACTGTGCATTAGACGTGAGTGGTGCAGTTATAAAATATATATGTGTGTGTGTGTGTGTGTGTGTGTGTGTGTGTGTGTGTTTTAGGTGGAGAAACGTCTGGAGCTGGTAAAGCAGGTCTCCCACAGCACTCACAAGAAGTTGACTGCGTGTCTGCAGGGCCAGCAGGGCGTGGACCTGGAGAAGAAGTCTGTCCGGTCGCCCTCGGTGAGAAGCAAAGATACAAAGCAAAGATCTGTCGTATGCATTAAACACAGAAATGCAAAACTGAGGAACATTAAATGAGAAAGAGGTGGAAAATAAATAAACGAGATGTTTAGGAATCAGACATCGATGGATTAATTACACCCAGTGTAGAGATAATGGAGGCTTCATTATAAAGTGTCTGCTCGATTCAGAGAAGGATGGATTTTTACTTCAGCTCCTTGTTTGATTCATTAATTACAGATTCTTTTTCCGTTTTGAGCCACGTTGATCTGTGACGAGCTCTGATTCATTTGTTTGACTGTTTCGTCCTCTGTGCAGAAAAAGCTTCCTCTCACAACACTAGCACAATGTTTGGTGGAGGGGGCGGCAGTGCTCGGAGACGAGTCTCTACTCGGGTGAGGACACACACACACACACACACTAATTTAATTGATCATTGATTATCTGTAGTCCTGGAAGCATTTTGTGTCAGAAAGCGCTGACATGGAAAAGAATGTTTTTATCACCCGCTGACCCAGAAGTGATTTTCTCTTCACATCCAGAAATAAAGTCAGACGAGAATAAACCTCATCAGCTACAGTCAAATATTTATTAACTCCATTTAAGTAACGTCTCCTGTAAAATCAGAAAAGCCAAAGAGAAAAATTGCAGGAAATTAAAAATGCTAATGCTAAGCTACATTTATGGATGTTTTTACGGTCCCCGCTGCAGCGTCCCTCACTTTGCTGCTTTAATTCACACGGATCATGTTCAGGCATCGCTGTTGTGCTGCTTTGGTTTAAACTCCCGCCCTGAATCTTTGCTGGTGTTTCCCGGGTTTTATTGTCCGTTGCAGGAAAATGCTGAAGCTCTGTGGAGAGACGCAGGACAAACTCGCCCAGGAGCTCATCATGTTTGAGCTCACCATAGAGAGAGACGTCGTCGAGCCTCTGTACGACCTCGCCGAGGTAACGACGGCTCGCGATCAGAAAGAGACGGCAGATTTCTGCATCCTGTGATCAGACACATTTCATTTGTCTCTCGTGTAAATTTAACCAGTGAACCGACCTTTGGCTGAGTTTTGCAGAAACAGGTGTCAAATCTCCTGAAAACTCAGAATCTGTCCCTCGTCTTGTTTCACACTAACAAACACTCGGCTCTGTCCTCAGGTGGAAATCCCAAACATCCAGAAACAAAGGAAACATTTAGCAAAACTGGTCCTGGACATGGACTCTGCACGCACACGGTGAGTCTCTGTGTGTGTGTGTGTGTGTGTGTATGTGTGTGTGTGATCAGAGAAACTTCATCCCCTGGGAATGGACGGGTCTCTGCAGTTTCCCACTGACTGTCACTGAGCTTTGATTGTTCACAGTGAAGATGGATCATTTAAATCTTCCTGTGTGAAAACCTCATTTGAAGCCAGATTCAGTTTGTTTCATTCTTTTTTCTTTTTCTCCGCCAGTTGCTGCTGCAGGTTTAATAATAATATGTTTAAATCGGATCAGTTGGACAGCTGCAGTTGTTTATCATACGTACATTTACCTAGATGCACAAAATGTGTGGATTTCCCCTTGAACCATTTTGAGATCATATCTTTAAGTTGCACAGATAATTAAAAAAACACCTGGAGTTACACACGACTTCAGGTGTTGTTGTTAACTCACCGTCTTTCAGCGTTGAACATTTATCAAATCTAAATCTCAGACTCGTGGGCAGGAGTGAAAACCTCTCAGGGACCTTGAATTCCCCCGAGTCGTCACGTCAGTGCGGATTTCCCTCCCGTCCAATCAGAAACTGTTCTCTGATCGCTGACTCGCTGTCGTCTCGCTGCCATCATGAGCAGTGACATGGAGAATTGTGATTTTTTTTTTTTTTAGTCGCTGCAGTTCAGGCCATGGGTTCCATTTTTTAAATTTCTTTTTTTCGTGACCCAAATCTGAGACAATTTCTCCCATCATCCCGCTGTGTGCTGAGCTCCTCTGGCAGCGCCACGTATTATCTTCACTCCGAGTGTTCAGACACTCAACTCAGACAGGAAGTCTGGCAGATAGACGCAGAGAATTAAGAGGAGAGAACTGCTCCAGTTGAATGATGGAGGAGAGAAAAGTTGTCAGTTCTGTCATTCAAAAAACTTTGTGTAAAGTATCTGTTGATATTTGTTTCTCTCAGAGCTGAAAGTTTCTGATCCACCACGTGTTTACATATTCACATTTTACAAAAGTAAAATGGAACTGGTGAGAATTGTGAATGTCCCTTTGATTCGCCGCAGACTTTAATGCCGCCTCCAGCCCTCCCCCGACCTTTAAAGCACAAGCGAGAGACGATGGCTGGATTGTTCAGTTCAGCTTCAGCTCTATTTATTCTGACAGCACACGATGTTGTGTTTCCAGGTATTATCAGTCCACCAAGTCATCAGGACTGTCCAGCAACCTGCAGCTGACGGGAGCCAAGGCCGACCACCTCAGGGAAGAGATGGAGGAGGCAGCCAACCGCATGGAGATCTGTCGGGTCAGTCTTCACTTTCACTCACAGCAGCAGAAGCATGAGAACTAAGAAAATCAAATATTATAAGATGATTGAATAGTGGGTCAGACCAGAGGTGAAGACTTGTCAGGTTTTAAGAAGTTCAAACTTTATATTTCTGACTTTTCACGAGACCGTTTTTTCAGCCGTCGGAGCAGAGAGAAGCTCGCAGGTGTAACTAACAGGATTAATGCTGTCTCAGCTGAAGAGTCGGAACAACACGGCTCCCTGGAGCTCCGAGCCGACATTAAAGTCATTAAAGCGTTTTAATTTTTCATGTGTGAGTCTTGTGTCTTTCTCACTTTTATTTTCTTCTCCCTCCAGGATCAGTTGTCGGCAGACATGTACAGTTTTGTGGCCAAAGAAATCGACTATGCAAGCTACTTCCAGACTGTAAGTGCAGCGTCTCCGCAGACTGCGACATGAGGGAAGAAGAGACATCTTCCTCTTCCTCTTCATCACGTCTCTTTCTTTCCGTCTCTGTGTGTAGCTGATAGAAGTCCAGGCCGAGTACCACAGGAAGTCATTGGAGCTGCTTCAGAGTGTTCTGCCGCAGATCAAAGCTCATCAGGGTGAGTCTCCTTCGCGATTCTTTGATGTGCAAATACTGTTTATCCATAGCTGCTTTCAGACGTTCACTGAACTCCAGATAATCTCCTGAAATTAAGGGCGTGAGACGTGTACGTGAGAACGCAAATGTCAGTTGTTCAGAACAATTTCTCCTCGTCTTTCCAAGTCGACGTCTTCGTCTTCTACGTGTACGGCTCCTCTTCTTCATCCTGAGATATTTGAGTTCTTCCAGTTTCACGTCCGTCACGTGTTGGAAACCTCATCAACACGTCCACTCGCTCGCTTTATGTTTTCCAGATATTTCACGAGGGGGCTGCAGGAAACGTTTGGAGCAACTGAGTCAGACATTTGCGTTCTCAACTGCTCGGTTTGTGAGAACCCCACATAATTAACTGATATGTTTATGAGTAAGTCATCTGTTTAAGTACAGGATAAATTACATCTGAAAGAAAACCACAGAAACTCAACTGAAACACTCCGGACTGTTAAAAGACAAACGGAGCCGGAGCAGATGGTGTTTAATGTCACATTAAAATGGAAATTCATTCAGTCGTCTGATCACTAAAAATGTATTTAATGACAAACTGCAGAACTCAGTGTGCTCGATATTGTTTGTGTTTGAATTAAACTTATATTCTTTGTTTGTTCTGATCAGTTTCTGCAGAGCTGCTAATGTGCGTCGTGACGTCGTGCATGTGTCTGAGTGTAACTCTGTGTGTGTGTGTGTTTGACAGAGACCTGGGTGGAGAAGCCGTGCTATGGGAAACCATTAGAGGAGCACTTAGCGCTCAGCGGGAGAGATATTGCCTTCCCCATCGAGGCCTGTGTCACTATGCTGCTGGAGTGTGGCATGCAGGAGGAGGTCAGACTCACACACACACACTAATAACTAAAGGGCAAACTATATCTAATGAGGTCAACGCTGCAGTTAGATTTCTACAGAGCACTTTTTCTTTGTTTAATTATAGTGTGATGGTCAGAAATCCTCTGATGTCCAGGGAGCTGCAAATTGTTCCGTATGCTACAAGAGACTAAATGATTTCCTTTGACACAAAAAGCTGAATATAATTATGAGGTTTAAAGTTTAAAGTATCGACAGAGAAAGACTTTTTTTTATTTTAAATGTAAAGTGAATTTAATACAGTTAATCCAGTTTAATTTGGACATTAAGAGTAATTGATTCACGATGTTAAAGGAAACACAAACTGACCTGTTGTGGTGAACTGCTGCTGACTCAGCTCTTCATTTAGGTTCTGCAGACGTAGGTTTGGTTTCAGAAATGCAGACGACACAGAATGAAGGAGTTCAACAACGGTTGCATCACATCTGGAGGGATTTAGTGTTTATTGCTCCTCTGTCAATAAAAGAATTAGAAATCTGATGTGTAAACACTTGTGTTTTACTTCTGGGCGTCTGACTCGTCTGCATGTTGCGTCGCAGGGTTTGTTCAGAATCGCTCCCTCCGCCTCCAAACTGAAGAAGCTGAAGGCGTCTTTAGACTGCGGAGTGTTGGACGTGCAGGAGTACTCCGCTGACCCGCACGCCATCGCAGGTGAGCTCCTCACAACACCGCCACACACCTGAGCTGCCAAATAGGAATATGAACACATTACTTCAGTTTAGGGAATAAACAGAATGCCAAACAATCTACAAGGAGTAAATCCCTAATATATATTTTAATCCCTGTCGCTATTTGTTTTTATTCCCCCTGCACATATTTCTAATTCTGCTGTCACTCATGCTCTTGTCCATCTCTGTGTTTCTCTTTTTTAGAAAGTGTTAAAAGAAATAGAACTGGGATTAGTGTCAGACAGATTCTTCGTCCCGTGCAGCAAAAAGCAGAATCAGTTTTCTTGGATTCTTTCTGTTGCTGTCACTGATCTGTTTCTAAATCAAACCTGTGATGCAGCAGGAATGAAAGAAAAGCTTTCGAGCTTTGATGAGGCTGTTATTGATTTTCTCCTCGTCTGTACTGCAGCTCACTGCTGCACAAAGTCTCCGTCAGATCAAAACCTTGTATCTCCATAATAACAAATGTTCATATTTTTAGCTTAAGAGCACATGCATTTTTAAATGTTTCATATTTAGCCTCCGGCACACAGAGGACATACTGCACCAACTTTAATGAAAAAGACGAATTCAGATTTATTTCAGTGCAGGAAAACGATTCACATTTAAACCATGTTTACCTTTATTTGATTAGTTATTCTGAAGGACTCGGATTCAGCCTCATGCAAAGAACAGTTGTACAAACCTGCTGCACAAATTTGAAAACTACAATTCTCACGTAGGTAGAGACACTTTTCGACACTAAAGACTGAAAATCTCAGCAGCTTCAGAAACACTCGGATCAACTCGTCTGACGATCACTGACCTCACACTTCCTCTTCTTTCTGATGTTGCACATTAACTGAATCTTCTGGATCGTGTGTGTGTTTCTGTCCTGCTGCCACATGACGGACAGATGTCATGAACAAACAGGTGCGCGGGTGTTCCTAATAAAGTGCTCAGTGTGAATCATTTCACACAGACCCACCTCCTCTATCACAACAAGACCAAACAAAAGAGATTTCCAGCCTCGATCGAGCAGAACTTGTGGGTGGAAGTGTAATTTTCAGCGACGGATGACTGGGCTTCTCTCCGTCTCCTCTCTCTGGTCTGCTGCGTTCATTTCCCCCAGAGACTCATGGGATGGAAGACAAACAAAACGCAGTCAGGGCATCCTTCACTGGGAGACAGCTCGGAGGCTGCTGTCATTCTGTCTGTCTGTCTGTCTGTGTCTGTGTGTGTGTGAGTGTGATCAGTGCTGAACACATTAGATACAAAGAATGATTTTGAAACCACAACATGCAGCTCTGGTTTGATGAGTCTGCAGAGAAGAGCCAGCTGATTATAACTGAGGCTGAATGGAAGATGAACGCCTCCACGCCCCCCCCCTCCCAGTGGGACAGGATCACAAATTAGATTTCCAGTCGGAGCTAACTCAGTTGAACACGGGATCATCGGGGAGGGACGTGGCCACGACTGTGAATCATTTCTCCTCCCGCACACGCTCCAGTAAACGCTGATGACTGACTGGTTTAACGATGGGACATACTGTATATATCTCCAAGTTGTGTGGTTTTAAAGTTTATCTGAAAATGACTCTGAGGAGATTTGAACGAGTCTGACAGATTTAACTAGAATCGCTGAGTCGCAGTCTGACAACTCCACCAATCCGTTATGTTCTCAGCCAATCCTGGAGCCTGTCGGCGAGTGTCTGGCTTCAAATTAGCCGCTTGGGGCAACGACCAGTATTTTTGGCTCTCCTGATATCAGACAGACGATATTCAGACTAAAACTCCATCTTCCGTTCATCGTACACAGTTCAACACGTTTCTTTTCTTGCTAGTTACGTGTCTTTGAGTGTCCAGGGGACATTTTGGCTCTTCTCTATTAACAGAAATCTGAATCTGAACAGAAATCAAATAAAAAGCAGATTCAAGCTGCTGAAGCCGTCCTCGTCACATCTGCATGATATCTTCATTAGTGTTTATCAAAGTTTTATGTTGATCTCCCCAGGGGCTCTGAAGTCGTATCTGCGGGAGCTCCCCGAGCCTCTGATGACCTTTGAACTCTACAACGACTGGATCCAGGCGTCCAAGTGAGTATCTGTTCAGTTTAATGTTGACGTTCCAACTTTATCTTTAGGTTTGTTTATTTACCCGCTCCACGTCTCTCTGTCGTCCTAAAGCATTCAAGATCAAGACAAGAGGCTTCAGGCTCTGCTCAGTGCCTGTGAGAAACTACCCCCAGCCAACAACAACAACTTCAAGTGAGTCACTGTTTCCATGTTTCCCTCCTCGTCATCCTCTGTTTGTTTATTGATCCAGGCTCACATCCTCAACCGGCTAAAATAATCCAGTTAATCCCAAATCCTTTGTTTTCACTTCATGTTCCAGCTGCAGTCAGGGATTCGATTTGTTCAATTTGGATGATAGTAAAGTGTAGAAACTACAATCACTCAAATTCTTACTTTCACGGCGAAGAACCACTTAATCCTGCTGCAAAATAAAAACAAAACACATCGTTAACCGTTAAACCAAGTGTTCTTCGCCCTGTTCTCTCCCTTCATCTTCCCCTCTTTCACTTTACTTCACCCTGAAACCTTCAAGAACTGTTTCGGTACTTTTCTCCATTTGGGGCAGTGAAAGTAAACTTTTATCAAACAGTCGATTATTCACTTAACCAGAAGATACGGAGAAACATTCATCATGAGAAGTGTTAATAATGTAAATCCAAAAGAGCGAGACACTGCAGCACTTGTCAGAGTCATCGTGGAATCACACGAACAGGGCGTGTTTTCTCTCGGGGGGTCGTCCTCTGAGAAGACCTGTCCGACCTGTCCAGATGATCGCTGCTCGAGCTGCCTGATGTTCACTCGGCTGTGGTCGGGCTCAGGATGAGTCATTCAGCTCAGCTGCTCTCGCAGAGCCACAGAAACCCACTGGCCCATTTCTGTCTCAGAGCTGCAGCGAAGAGCTGTTTGCTGTAATCGTGGGACTCAGATCAGTTTGGGTCACAACGAAAGAAAACATGTTGGACTCTCTTCAAATTTGGCTCGAACATTCAGATGAACTGATTAGAGGGTCAAAGGTCAAGGTCACGTTAATCCTTCACTTCACTCAGACATATCAGTGTTCCTGGTGTGTCTGTTGTCTTACAGGTATTTGATCAAATTTCTCTCCAAACTGACTGAGTACCAGGATGTGAACAAGATGACACCTGGAAACATCGCTATCGTCCTCGGACCGAACCTGCTCTGGATGCACAACGAGGGGTAAGACATGACGGCTGTGTCTCATACATAACAAACATGTCTTATACTTCTGCACGGGCCACACAGAGGCATCAGGTTTTTAGGTGTCCAGATTTCCGTCCGATGTCTCAAGAACGCCTTGAGGGATCTTCTTCAGATTTGGTAGAAACGTTCAGCTGGACTGATTTGAATTTGTTGGTCAAAGGTCGTGTTCATGTTGATCTCCTGAGCTCGTATGAATAAAACTGCACTGGTTAGTAAATCTGCGTTGCCGATCGTTGCGATGCTCAAAGTGCCACGAGTGCTGTTAACAAAAAGACGTGTGGGCACGACTCCAACACATTTCCATTTTGAGTGGGGTAAAGGCCGCTTCCTTTATGTCTCTGTGTAAATCTCACTCTGACTCTTTATCCCTCTCTGACTTTTAATTAGTATTTTCAATCGGCCACGTTCCTGAAATGGTTTTAATCTTCTGCAGTATCGTGAAAATGTCTTAATTGCAGCCCGAGCATAAATTCTCCCGATCCAGACGGTGACTTTTCACCGTCATAAAAATGACGTCTGTGTCTCCTCTGTCCTCCGTCTGCTGCAGCAACATCACGGAGATGATGACGACAGTTTCCCTGCAAATCGTCGGCATCATCGAGCCCGTCATCCAGCACGCCGACTGGTTCTTCCCCGGAGGTGAGGAGAAACTGTGATTTTATCTGAGACACTACACCGAGACTTATGTTTGTTTCTGTGGTTGTGGATCGATCCTGATCCTCGCTCCTGTTTCTGTTTCTTAGAAATCGAGTTCAACGTCACAGGGAATTATGGGAGTCCCGTCCACACCAACCACAATGCCAATTACAGCTTAATGCCGTCTCCGGACATGGACCAGATGGACCGCAAACAGAACGACCAAAGCCGGCGGCCACTCAGCGTCGCCACGGACAACATGATGCTGGAGTTCTACAAGAAAGACGGGTACGATTCTCCTGTTGTATATTTTTAAAGTACACTGGTGTCACAACCATGGAGCAGCAACTGCAGAGGTTTTAGTTTGAGCTGTGGGACGGACAAGAGAGATTTGTGAGTAGAAGAATTCCCCGCTGATGACGCAAGTTCCATGTGAGAAGAGACCTCAGGGAAAAGCTCAGTTTCACAGACAGGATGTGGCGTCACTCTTTTCTCTGTGACACCTGCCCCCAAGTGTCTCCATGTCCCCCGACGAGGGTTTGAAGTGAGTAACGGAGAAAAACCAGGTCAGGAAAGAGTCAGACAGACGGAGCGAGGGATGACATTTAGTCTGTGAAATGAGGAACCTGACAGACTGAGAGCTGCGGAGGAGGATTAACCAAGCAGCAGTTAGTCACTTTCTCTTTTTCTCTGTGTCTCTGTCTTTGAGGCTCTAATACTCCCCCTCGCTCTTATTAGACCCTGAGTGGTCTGAGCCGTCTGCAGCTCAGGAACCACGAGTGGCCCGGCTAATTAAACCCAGACCCAGAGTGCATGCTGGGTCCGATCAATAGAGCCAACACATCTCACGACCAGCGTCTGAGTGTGAAAGCTCTTTATGTGCGTATGTAAGATTTGAGACACTTTAACCATAAACTTTATTATAAAAAACTAGATTAAATAACAAACTAACTAATAAATAAGTCGTGATTTTTGTCTTCGTGTCATTTTAGAGAAGAGACACCAGAAGATCAGCCTTCAACTGTGTTAGAAGGAGGAACGTGGATTTCTCCTGTAATGAGTTTTATATCAACAAACGTTCACTCTAGTTTACGTGAAATGTTCCTGTTGCATGAAACCTTCTCTTATTTTCGGGGCACTCTCTGGAATCCATCGGGGAGACTTTGACCCAATTAAGACTAAATGGAGCGATCTTTGTCTCAGTGGGTTTGGTCGTCGCTCTCCTCATTCCGCTCAGCGTGAGGCCTCGGCCAGTTCGGCCTCGCTCCCCCGTCCCTGCTCTTGTCTCAAGACGTTGATCCGACCCAACGCGCAGCTTTGATAACGATGCTGTTAATGAGCCTGCGGAGACGCCGTGTCTTCCGTGATCTGCTGTCCTCACTGTGTTTGTCTCTGTTCTAACAATGCAGCATTAGGAAGATACAAAGGTACAGTATGTGGTTCCTTTTCCTCCACTCATCCCCTCATCAGTCACTCCATCATCTGTCCGTCTCAGCTGCACGTTGACAGGACCAGTGTGTGTGTGTGTGTGTGTGTGTGTGTGTGTGTGTGTG